CATTAGTATTTATTATTCTCAATTTTCACTAACTGTATTGTCCTTCCTTTTCTGATTTTGTGTTAACCTCTCTGCTATCTTAGAGCCCATCCCATCTCCTTCTTATCCTACACAACACAAACTGTAAATTTTTGTAGAGAAAAAGGTCACAAATTTTGCAAGAACCTACTCTTGAATTGTTTCCACTACCACAGGACTAGCATATTAGTAGAGAGGTTAGGTCTAGGAGATGTTCAGCAGCTCACCTCACTAGTTGTACAGCATTTTCAAGGCTACATTTCCAAGGCCCCATCTCTTGTTAAGGCCTACTGAATGTAGGTATGCATACCCTGGGGACTTTTCTACTGGAGTATAAATAGCACGGTCAGAAACTCACCCAACATTCTCTCCTTCCTAATCTTCCTAAATCTTCTACTCTTTGAAACTAATTTCCATCTCCAGCCATATTAAGCATATTCTGGCACTCTGACAGAGGATCTTATTTAATTCCTGTAGCAATTATGAGATAGGTATTATTAATTATGCTCTATTGTGTGTACAAGGATATTGTGACTTATATAGGTCAAGTGACTTGGCCAAGTGACACAAGCTGATGAGGTTCTTTCCCCAATACCGGGAAGCCTGTAGCAAAGGAATAGATGTAGCCCAGTTTTTACAAACCATCTAGGCAACAGGGGATAAGTCTGTACCATACAGACCAAGGGATCCACTCAGAAGCAGCAGTGGTTTTGGTTTTTGTTTTAATGGTTCAAAAATCCATCAGGAATTCTGATTGGCCCTACTGACAAGACATCCAGGCCCACCAGCTGGGTGACTCTTGACTCTCCATGCTTCTCACCATAATTAATGCAAGGTCCTTGGCTCACAGTGTGAGCATCAAGACCCTGTTAGAGTTAGCAATGACCTTTACATTTCTCAGGCTTTTCAAAATATGTAAAACAGCTGGGTGTTAGGAACACCCCTCAAACTCTCAACCCTGAAATATGGGTAGATGCAATTTTCCCTAACTGTGGTGGTTTCACCAAGTTTTGAGGAAATGACTTTTTATATGACTAAAACACACTGTATTGAGATATGGGGTTTTTTTCAGTTGCCCAAGCAAATTAAAGAGGCACACAAAAAGAAAATGCTTGCTAAAGGATTTGCTTGACTTAAAAAGAAATCTCAGTAGCAGGAGAACAGAAGAAGAAAGAATGATCTCAAAACATCAGGAGGGGGGAAGGGAGACTGTTTGGCTTTCATACTTGTGCCTCTGATATCCTTTTGTTCTCCCACCTCATTGTATTAAGGATGCTAAATCAAACATGATTGCAGTGTGATGTTTGTGTGTGAAAATGACAAAAGCAACAGGCCAAAATCCCAACCTCATCTTGAACCCTGAAGACTTTTATGGCTTTTCCTTCACTAGGCCCTCCCCCTAAAACACATTAAAGACCACATTGTTCAAAAGGGTCATGGTGGGTTTCATACACCATTTTAATACAATGTAAATGGTAACTAAACATCCAAGTTTTGTTAGCAATATTTGTATGTGTCTGGAAAATGGCTGGGATACTATGGAGATAATTAAATTAATAAACTACTTTTTTGTTTAAACATTAATGTAATTATAATGTATCAGAGAAGCAAAAACAATAGCATCAAGGCACTACTTACTTGTGATTATGTCAGATTTTCTTTATAACATTATTTTCTTCAGAAAAGGGGTAGGGTTGGAGATGGGTTAAAAACATCCAGATGACTTGTGAGGTGCTTAAGTATTTGCCCCAGCCTCAAGCTCATCCAGAAGGTGGGAGTCTCAACCCAAGAAGCCTAAACTAAATAAAACTTGCTGCTCATTTAAAATACAGGTTTTCCCTACCCCTTATTGTACTTGTTAGGTTGTTAGGTCTGCAAATAACACTATGAACACTAAATTGGTTTATGTATTTATTCTTGGAAAATTTCAAATTGGAAAGGAATCAGAAGCTATTTGTGCTTCCATTTTTCTCATATCTTATCACCGGCTGTCACCAATACTTTGGAGGTTTTGTGGAAGAAAGGTGACAGTAACTCCATTCGTCTTTCCAACTACCATAAATAATCTGCACCATAAAAGTACCTACTGAATTACTGCCTTAGCCCTCTGGAAAAGGATACAGTAAAACAGGAAGGTTACAGTTGGGCTTGGTAAAGGGAATTGTGAAAAATTAAACTTTTGACTGGATTACAAGAACAACAGCAAACATGGGATAGGTACTTTTAAAATTATAATTTTGCCAGGCACAATGGCACATGCTTATAATTTCAGCTACTCTAGTGGCTGAGGCAAGAGGATAGCAAGTTTGAGGTTAGCCTAGATAATAAAGATCCTGTCTCAAAATGAACATTTTTAAATTTTCCTCTTCCACTGGTATCTCAGTATCAGAACCTTATTTCAACCTCTCATTAAAAACAAACACACACCACAATTACACTGGCAGCACTATTCACTTTCTCCAAATCAGGCATTTTTTATTAATGCCTGTATAACAGGTATAAAGATGTGGCATGCTATCATAACCCAGTGCCTTTTTGATAAGGCTTAAGATTTTTGCAATTTCTTATACTACAAGTGCAATTTAAAAGATCTGAAAATAATACACTAAGAGCATCTGTTTAACTCAGTTGAAGTTTCAAGAGCCAATACCAGCCGTTGAGGGACTGATTTCACACATGTTACTCAAATCCTAACCAAATCTTGGTTTTTTGTTTTTTGTTTTTCATTCCCTTAGTGATGCCTCCAAAGCCAACAGGGTAAAGAATAAAAAAAAGAAAAAGAATGGGAAAAAAGATTACTCAGTGCTTTGATCCATGTGACCAAGACCAAAATGATCACCCTCTCCAATTCAATACAGTATTAGCATGAGAACAAAAGGAATTTAAAAATCAATTTGGAATTATTTCTACCAGGGGTTGTCTAATCTTTGGAAGCTGAAGAATGAGAATATTCCCAAACGTTGAAATGGCACTCAAATCATTTTTTTCTCCTTTAAGAAGAAATCTAATTTTCACAGGGAAATTCATTTGGTAGCATTGTTTTGGTTTTAGGTATCTGTCCTATCAGGCAGGGGCTGTGCACAGGGCTGCATCTATCTTGAATGTGCACAATGGCTTCTCTCTTGCTGCTCTTCTCAGTTATTGATCCTCACAGATGCTCCAAGGCCCTTCCCCCACTTTCTCCAAATCCCAACCCCCCATTCTGAAAGATAGCTTAAGAAATAAGACTTCCTGCCTAGCGACTGGCAGGGCTGAAAGACCAGATTGTATGACTCCACAGATCAGGTCTGCCACAGTGAAAGCTTGAATAGAGTTAACCCTCTGTGAACTAAAACAAAACATTTGTATGCCCAGCTGTGACAAAGGTTAATTTAAATGGACAAGGGCCCAATATCTAAAACCATGCAAGCTTTTTTTTTTTTTTTACAGTAGCATTTCACTGACCTCTTTTGTAAGGAGTTGTTTTGCCTTTTTAACTTTCCAAAGACCTCATTCAGCTGTGATCATTTATTTTGACTTATTAGAATTTTGTATGGAAGAATCAGACACAAACTTTAAAATTCACTTCCTTGTTTTATGAAAGTTCTTGTTTTACTAGTGTAAGTTATTTTCTGCCACTGAATGACTCAGAAAAACTAAAGTCTTAATACTTAATGAAATACACTAGAGGAAAAGTTTCTTTTTTCCACAACTGGTGGACTACATTATATATCACTGAGAGATTCAAAGTGGTTGAAAAAATTCTAAATCCTCCAGAATTATCCCCACCCACCAAACTCATAGCCATTGCACTGGTACCTCTGCCCTCCCTTAAACTCCTGTTCAATGGCTCCAAATAAAATATTTTCTTAAGCTACACCTTTCTTAAAAATCTAGTTACATAGAGAGGCAAGGAGAAGAGGCTGCTCAAGATAAAAGTCTCAGAACTGCATGAAATCGACAATTCCTGCTAACTCTTCTTTTCACTAATTTACAGTGAAAAAAAATGAAGTACCGGTAGAATATGAGGACGGGGGGGGGTAACACATAAGGAAGAGGGGTGACAGCAGTTCTACAAAGAATACTATAACAAGAGGGAGCCCCACTTTCCTGATTTGTGCATCCCCAGAGTGAGCATGAAACAGTGAGGTTGCCTATGGCAGATGTTAGCCATGCTGCAAGGGGCTGGGAGGCTTTCCCAGGATCATTTTGTAGGGTTAATGTCACTGCCAGAAATTCATCAACTGCTTCAAAGAGTCAGGAATTCTCCTGGCTATAGCTCAGCAGCACTTGCCTATAAGAAATCAAACTCTGCAAATTCTTAGGCTCTACTTTATAACTGCAGTGAATTTTTAATGTTAAAACTCATCTTTAAGCTGTTTCTATAATATTTACTAGTCATTATTAACTATATACACACAAAGAAAATTTGCCTTTAAAAAATAATTTCTTTTAAAAAGAAATTAGCAATGATTTAGTCTTATACCCCAAACGCTAATGTATCTAAGTCCCCCTAAAGAGGATGAGGCTGCCTTATCAGTGGCCTCCTGACCCCAATTCTATCTATAATTAACAGTACTAAATAAGGCTTTGGCAGATGACAAACTAAATTAAACATTTAAAATATAAACAAATTATGTCAAGAGGTGAACAGTTTTTAAATGTAAATTTTACTCTGCACTGGAATGTGAAGTTTAAAGTTTTTTTAATTACCATAAAATTTAAATCTGCTGCTCCCCTTTTTCTCCTGTTCTTTCGGTTAAAACACCACCACCATTACTTCACTACAGCTCTCCTTGCTTCTCTCCTGTATCCAAAACATTCAGAGCCCACTGCTGTGCACATGAAAACTTGTTGGCTGAATTCTGCCAAGATACAAGAAACAGTTGCCTGTGGACTTGCTTCCCTTCTCCCCCTCAAGGCTACTATTTGATCTAAACCTTCAAAGAAAAAAGTCTAAAGCTTAGAATTGGGTCCCAGACTTTAACAATCGGCCCCCTTACCTTCCCATGTCTCCATTTCATGCTTCTCGGAGTCTGCTGAGAAGTTCTATTGCAGCCATGAAGAAAGAGAGATTACAAGACAAGTCCAGCTTGATGACCACCCTTCCGACACTTGGTCAATTTCTTTCTCTAAGGCGGACTACGACAGTCATCCTCACAGGTCAGTTTACAAGCCGGTCATGTGATTACAAAGTTCAGCCTCTAAGGTCACGGTATGTATGGAGTTCGTTTATTACCAAAGGTTATCTAAGTGGAACTGATGGACTTTTTTCTCTAGTTAACAATACTGCCTAGCACATTTCTCTGAAAACCTATATTGGAACATTTAAGGGAAATACTCCACTATTCTTAAATTGAGATTCCAAAATTAAAAGGCAGCATTTTAGAAAGACAAAATTTAAGAGTTTTAGTATGTGGAAGTTTTTCTTCTTTTTTCAAAAGCTATTCTATTCTATATCCTTCTATATTCTGCATTAGAAAATTTAGGACTAAAACCTTTGACCCAAAGAAAAAAACTACACTTTAAGCATCTGTTTTGTTTCTGAGAGGTAGGAGTAGGATTCCTGCTTTTTGTCATTATAATAAACAATGACAAGGAAAATTCTGAAAAAATTAAAACATGGTGCTATAGGTTGTTTGCAGGGCTTTCTTTAACTTTAGCCCTTGGTTTCCATGCTCTGGTTGTCCACACTAGTTTCAAAGACTGTACAAAAAGGAAACTATGTCTGTAAAATTCTTTTAGAAAGCAAAGGTTAGAAATTTCATCCCCCACCCCCAGCCAAAAGGTTACATCTTTAAAGTAAGCTTTAGGGTTCATTCCTCTAAAGCTTCTAAGGTTTTAAGCAATCATCATGCTATAGCCTCTGCTCTGATTCATGGGCTGTGTCAGCAGCAAAGTTCAGTGTGTAAGACGGACAACACATGTACTCACACCTTACCACAGAACTGCAGAGGTCGGCAAATTTGAGCCATATGCTAATGACACATGATGTCAAACATCCAGCTATCCATTGAGATATCAGAACACACAAAAAAGGGCAAGTTCCCATGCAGGAGGCCCTAAGATTAATCTCCAGTGACACAAAAAAGGCAGGGGGAGTTCTGCTGAGAAGGTGAAATAGCCCACAGAGACACTGATTCCTAAAGATAAGTGCTTTTTTAACTGTGTTTTTTTAAGCTGTTGCATTCTATGAAATCTCCTCTCTTCTCTTAGCTTTAGGAATTCTTAAAGGCCAGGTACAATTTACAGCACTGCTCCAGAAAAGAGGAGAACCCTTCTTGGGGTTGTTACTTGACAGTCATATAAATGAATGACAGATAATGCTTTCAACATTACTAGAGACTTTCCTAACCAACAGTGAACATTAGGATCATACAAAAAAGTAGAGGCTGGACAGAAAGTGATCACTGGTTTAGAAAAGGAGAAAAGGCTATAATTTGTTTTAAAATAAATGTTTTGTGGAAGCCGGGCGTAGTGGCACACGCCTGTAATCCCAGCATGCGGGAGGCTGAGGCAGGAGGATCGCTGTGAGTTCGAGACCAGCCTGAGCTACTTAGTGAGTTCCAGGTCAGTCTCAACTATATAGGGAGACACTGTCTCAAAAAACAAAAAACAAAAAACAAACAAACAAACAAAAAAAAATCTTTTGTCACTGCCACCACATACCCTGCCCCAATCCGCCAAAATTGACTAGTCTTTCCTCTCCATCTAAACAAGAGCTTAAGATTTTCTTCTCAGTCCCTGTAGAACTTCATGCAGCTCTTGAATAATTTTAACAAAGTGACTATAAATACAAGGGGAAGGCCCATTAACAAAAAGCCATTTAATTGGAAACACTTTTTTTTTAAATGGTAGCAAAGTTTTATTAAAGGCAGGAAAAGAAACAGGCTCTGCAGAGTGAGTTTGGGCCAAGTAAAAGTAGGAAAAGAAGTACACCCTACAGCATGAGAGCGGCCTCTGTGCGAGAGGAACACAGTGGCCTGAAACACTTACTTTGAAAGAGCACTTCTCTGTCTCCCTAACAGATACAGGCTTATCTGGACTTGGTACCTGCATACTAGTCTCTGTGTGCGAGCGTACCAACTTTAGAAGGAAAAAGTGAAATTGAGAGCTGCTGACCTGGCCCCTAGGCATTAAGACTGAAACAGATCTTGATAATGATGATTACTGGCAGTACCCAAGACCTTCATTCTGAGATACATCCCCAGCCCTTTAAAATTTTTTTATTTTGAACAAGGTCTCACTAAGTCATTAAACTGCCCAAACTAAGCTAGAATTTGCTATCTTCTTGCCTCAGCCTCCCAAAGTGCTGGGATTACAGATGTATGCCATCACACCTGGCTTAAGGGTAGGTCTTCCAGATAAATTTCTGAAGCACCTATAAGCCTAAAAACAAAATTCTAATATAATTTAAGAAGACAAGCTGGGGCGTGGTGGCGCATGCCTGTAATCCCAGCACTCGGGAGGCTGACGCAGAAGGACCGCTGTGAGATGAGACCAGCCTGGGCTACATAGTGAGTTCTAGGTCAGTCTCAACTACATAGTGAGACCCTGTCTCAAACCCCACCCCCCAAAAAAAGAGGACAACAAGTAAAACTCAGTTTTGGATATAGAGCCATATTTTTTTTACCATCCTCAGGTTTTAGGGGGAATTTGTTTGCTTGTCTTATTGTTTGAGACAGGGTCTTACTACATAATTCAGGCTGGCCTTGAAATACTATGTAGCCCAGGCTGGCCTCAAACTGGCAGTGATCCTGCTGTCTCAGCCTCCTGGGTGCTAGGATTATAGGCATGTGACACCATGCCCAGCTCCAAGGGGTTTTTTTGGGGAAGATCCTTTATAGGAGCTACTCTGAAGAGTGGGGAAGAGAAGATGAATATTCTCCTTGTTGCTCATGTGTTGACTCAGGCTCCCAGGAAAATTGCTAAAGATTGCAGAGCGAAAAAAAATCATTTAAGAAGACAAAAGGAATCCTGGAACATATGAATGGGAAGGGAGAAAGAAAATCAGCAGTATTTTCTATTTGCCAATATCAGGTTTGTAGAGAAAAGAGTACATGAACAAAATTCTACATCAGCATTGCATCTGTGTATCTACAAGTCCAAATTATGAGTGATGGAACCTTAGATAAACAGCAAGACTATGGTTCCATTTTCATTTTAAAGACACAAAATATGGGGCCTAGAGAAAGGAAGAGGCAAAGGTCACTAAACCAACTGAGAAGAAAAGCAAATATCCTAGCCATATTTCTTCCATCATACCATATACCTTGAAGGACAAAAAAAGGTAAAGCCTCTTTTTAGATGCTCTATTTAACAGTATCTCCCGTTTGTTTTTTTACTCAAATGGTAGCCTTCAAGAGGACTGCAAATTCTGAAGCTGAAGAGGGTATTATCAATATGTAAGTTTAGGCCTTCAATGTAAAACACAAGATGCAAAATCAAAAGACCACAGAAATCATTTCAGCCTTACTTGTTCTTAAGAAGCTTTTGATGAAAGTCTGATATACAGTGAAATCCATGTGATCATATTCATGGAGGGAACTCTATCCATTTCAGAAAATCAGAAATATGCAAAAAATGTTCTAAATTTCTTTTTAAATTTGCAAAGGTTAAAACAAAAACAAAAAATAGCTCAAAGTCACTGGTTCTCATGGGTCAGTTCATTGATACAGACATTCCCTTTGGCAAGGAAAAGTTTAATTCAACAAAACAGGAATAATGAAATCACAGTCAAATGAAGTCCACATTATCTGGGACTAAAAAGTAAGCCTCCTAAGCACAGAAAAGGAATAGAATAACAAAGAAACACTTCGGTATTATTTCCACAGATAATAAGTCTTCTACTCATAGAGTTGGAAAAGAGAATTCATAGTTTTAAAAAACCTCAGTGTTGAAGAGCCCAGCATGGTGGAGTACTCCGGAGGCTGAGGCAGGAGGATCTCTGCAAGTTTGAGGCCAGCCTGGGCCACATAGTGAGTTCAAGGACAGCCTGAACCACATAGCAAAGACCCTGTCTCCAAAAACCAAAACCAAAAACAAACAAACAAAACAAAAAGCCTTAGCATTGAAAACCAAAATAAACTATTCCAGAAACTGGGGCTTTTCATCAAATTCTATGAACAATCATTGAGTGTCTCCTTAGAAATATTATGCTACCTGCAGTTACATAAAGAAGTATCATGTGATTCTTAATCTAGAGAGACTCATCATCTGCTGACCTCTTCAGGCTCATTTCCCACCACTATGTATTAACCCATTTGTGAGGCAAATACACCCAAAACATAAGCAACAGTATGATGGTTCAGTATGAGTGCTCAGAATCAAGGAAGGGAAGTAGTAAGGAAACACAGATGAAGGAACAATTTACCAGACTGAAGTGGGCTGCCAGAGTGAGAGAACATTACATTTGAGCTGAAACTTGCAGTTCCTTAAGTAGAAGATTAAGAAAGGTATTTCAGGACCTGAAGAAACTGGTAGAATGGGGAAGATCAGAAAAAGACTTTGTAATGTCAATGTCAAGTCAGGACTTAAATCTTTATGCAGAAAAGTAATATGATAGGCTGTGGAAGAAAAGACTATACGCTTGAAGAATAGACATAAAGGGCCAGGGATTTAGCTCAGTGGTTCCATCGCGTGCCTTGAAAGCCCAAGGTCCCAAGTTCAATCCCCAATACCAAAAAAAAAAAAAAGAATAGACATAAGAACCACATATCCATGTATGTACCTTGTTTAGGTCCTGATTTGAACAAATCAGCTATTAAAAACACTTGAGATCATCAAGAAAATTTAAATAAGGGCACAGTATTTAATTATGTAAGTTTTCTATACCCAAATGAGGAATTTGGAAAAGATAAGCCTTCCTTCAAGTTAAAACAAAACAAAAAACCCAACAACACACAATTCCCCAGTCAAGGCTTTGACCTTAAAGTTTTAAAGCATCACAATCAAGAACAGATTATAGTATGAATAAATTAGTCTCTTTCGAATGAAAAGAAAAGAAAGAAACCAGATGCACAGCATA